TTCATTTAATATTTGACGATGTTCTCTTAAATCAAGAAAACAAAATCCACAGAGTCATTCATTAATAAAACAAATTAATCTATGGGAAATAAAATCAATTGAAATAATTCAACAAAAAGCACAAGAGCACAGAGAAATTCTTATGAAATCATCACAAACATGTATTAATGATATTGAAATGAAACTTGATGATTTAAGTAAACAAATAAAACAATGTCAAAAAGAAAACAAATTTAATGAAGTTGAATTAAATCATCTAAGAAATCAACTAATAGAAATTGCAAAAGAATTCAATAATCCATCAAATATGTCTATCCATCAAAATTCACGATCATTTATTAGTGAAATTTCAATTATTTTATCAAAAAGTAAATTTTTAAGAAATAACTTATAAAAGAATGATTCTCATTTTCTAGAACCAACATGGCACAAATGGAAACAAAATGGTATCACTGTGGCTGCTGGAAATGACTACGGAGAAGAATTAAATCAACTCGATCGCCCTGGAGGTATCTTTATTGATAAAAACAAAAATATTTTCATTGCTGATTGTTATAATCATCGTATTGTTGAATGGAAATGTAAAGCAAAGGAAGGAGTAATCATTGCAGGTGAAAATAAACAAGGAAATCGAATGAATCAATTGAATTATCCAACAGATGTAATTGTTGATCAACAAAATCATTCCATCATCATTGCTGATAAAAAGAATAGACGAGTGATTCAATGGTTGAATCAAAATCAACAAATTCTCATTTCGGATATTCACTGTTCTCGTTTGGCAATGGATAAATATGGATTTCTTTATGTTTCTGATTGTGAGAAGAATGAAGTGACACGATGGAAAATGGGAGAATACAATGAAGGAATTGTAGTGGCAGGTGGACATGGACAAGGAAAACGACTCAATCAACTTAGTTTTCCTAGTTTTATCTTCGTTGATAAACATCAATCTGTTTATATATCGGATAGAGACAATCATCGTGTGATGAAATGGAGAAAAGATACAAAAGAAGGAAGAGTTGTGGCTGGAGGAAATGGTGAAGGAGAAAATCTCGATCAATTGTCTGAACCTCAAGGAGTCATTGTTGATGATTTGGGTCAAATCTATGTGGCAGATTCTGCGAATGATCGAGTAATGCGTTGGTGTGAAGGACAAGAAGAAGGTGAAATTGTTGTTGGAGGAAATGGTTATGGAGATGAACCAAATCAATTATTCGGGCCTCATGGTTTATCTTTTGATAACGATGGAAATCTTTACGTTGGTGATTATTGGAATAATCGAATTCAAAAATTTAAAATAATTTTGTGAATGAATGATTTTTTGATTGTATAAAAGAACGAAGAAAAATCTTTTGAGATTCTTTTCTTGAACATTGAATTTAATTTGATAGTTTTGATTACAAAAATTCCAACAAATAAACGTTAAATTCTTCATCTTTTGTTGAATATTTTTCTTTTTTCGATTTAATATAATCTAAGAATTGTTTTAAATTGAAAAGAAATGCTTTATGAAAAATTGACAATGAAAATCGACATGAAATGAATTTTGTTGAGTAAAAAACAAATGTTGAAAAGGTTCTTGTTTAATAAAACTTACAGAAAAATTTGTTTTATTTTTCAAAGAAATTAAAGAAAATATTTCATAATTACTTTATGAGATTTAATTGAATTTTTTGAAACAAAAAGTTTCCTTAAAGTATTTTTAATTTCAAACGATTTTCGTTTTGTTCTGATTTTTTTTTCGTTGAGATCTTTTCAAACTTGAACGAAAGAAAGGGTATAGGTATTGATACTGTATTCAACTAGCACCCACACCCACCCTTTGCTCATTTTCAATTATTTTATAAGATAAATATTTTATTTAAATTAGATAACAATGTTTTGTGTGCAATGAAGGGTGTGAGTATACGGGCGCATGAACAAAGATGTGTAAAATATAGTCATCTTTCATCCACACCATTGAAACCAATTTGAATCAGAAATATTCATCGTGATTGACAACTCGTCGCTGTTGGATTGATTGCAAGAAATATCCATTTTCAGAGTTTTTGTTTTGCATATATTAAATTTTGAGTTGAATTCATGCATCTTTTTTCATATCTCTTAGAAAAACACATCGTATCACAATGAACAAATCTGCTTTCCATATATCTCATGAGTATTTATTCTAAAACACATCAAAATATTCAAAGAAGGAAACTTCTCACAGAAATACTTATTGCGCATAAAGAAACAAAGAACGTGATTAAAGTGAGTCCTGATAAAGCAGATTATTTAACAGAATCAAATAAAAACAAATATCAAACTAATCATGACTTATTCAATGACGTCTATCATTTGTTGACGATGATAATTGATACCTTATTTTTAGTTAAAACACGTACGATGATTAATGCAAATTTTCATCAATTCTCTTTTCTCTTTATCACGTTCTTCTTCACTAAAATTAAAGATTTTTTATAAAATTAAAAAAAAAGAAAAGGATCATGTTGAATTTAAATTCCATTTTGTGTTTTCGAATTTCGAAAGAATGAAATTAAATCATCAACTTTATTCATTAATCCAATCTAAAATCAATTTTCCATCTTACCTACGACAAAACCTTCTCTAGAACACTATTTTTTCTCTTTGCGTGTTATCTTCGAAGAAGTAAATGAGAGAGAAAGAGAGATATATAACTAGAGAGAAAATCTACAACGAGTCTCATTTTGTTTTCATCAAAGGCAAAGAAGATCACTTTAACAGTTGACTGATTTATCAAAATAAAATCTTGTTGAATGATGTGGAATATTTTTGTATTTATCATTAGTCTTCTGTTCATTCTCGACAATGAAACATCAGGTAAATACTTTTATTTATCACATACTGAAGATCAGCTATTGCGCAAAATAATGATTGACAGTGTTGTAAATATCTAAGTTTCTATCGATTGATAGTTTCAAAACGATTGAAAACTTGAACATTACTGGAATCTTCTCTCAATATCAATTTTATTTGTAGATCTTGAGACGAGAATGAGACTCAAAAGAAGGGAAAAAGGGTGTGGATGTGGGTGTGGAGTGAGTATTAACCAGACAACCCACACACCACCCACACCCACACCCTCAACGCAAAAGATCCATGATTTAATTCAATTTTTTATACTGATTCCGAATCTTTAACTGTTTCGTGTTTAAAATCTTATTTGGATCTGAAAATCAATGAATACGATCTAAAATAGCTGTCGTTCCAGTGAAACCGGGTTTTCACAACACAGGAAAGAAATTTTAAAAAAAGCGATGCATAACTATTTGACTCATGGTATGATGAGTCGAATAAGATAAAATATTTGTCTCTACCACTTACACAGAAAAACTGGATAGGTTTACAAAAACAACCTCTATATGGTGAAATCAGTACGATTTGAAGTCCCCCTACTAATACAATTTTGAGGCTAGAGTCGGTCTGAAAACGGTTTTAGATTTTATTTTATGATGCCGAATCAGAAAAAAATAGTTTGAGAACGATAAACATAAGAAAAAATAGAAAATTTTGCATATTTCGTGAAAAGATACACTTTTCTCGAAAACTGACTTCTCTGAAGTATTTCGCATTTTTTGACCTGAAGGAAGATTTTGCTAAGGATAAAATGTGGATATTCGTGATCAGCATGTAAAACTCTATCAGATGATGTAAAAAAAGAGCAAAAAACAGTTTCACTCGATGTTTGCATTGCCTGTACCTTACAAATCATCTGAGAAAATACGACAACAATCATAGAAATCTTTTGAAAACTAATCTGAATGAGTTTTTTCGAGAAAAAACATAGATTAGCACTTTTATTTCGTTTCGTTTGGTATTCTTCTCTAATGTTATTTTTATTTCTCTCGTTTTAGCTTTGTCATTAAATCAACCAAAGTTTTCTCCAACACCCATTTGGAATTCCAATGGAATTACCTTTGCTAATCGATCGACTGTTGGTCAAGATCCTCGCTCCATCTTTGTGAGCACAAACAACACAATCTATGTCGCTAATCGAGAAAATAATACAATTCTAATATGGCAAGAAGAGAGTGTCAATCCAATAAACATCATTCACAGTAATTGTACACTACCCAATTCTCTCTTCGTGACAGCAAATGGTGATATTTATATTGATGATGGCGAGATGAATGGTCGAGTGCAGAGATGGAGTGCAGAAATAAATACCTTTGTCACAGTGATGAATGTCAACTCATCATGTTGGGGTTTGTTTGTCGATATCAATAATACTCTTTACTGTTCAATGACTGCTCTTCATCAAGTAGTGAAAAGATCATTGAATGACGCTGTGATGATTTCAAATGTTGTTGCTGCTGGAACAGATATTGAAGGATCAGCCTCGAATCAACTTTTTTATCCTTATGGGATTTTTGTTGATGTGAATTTGGATTTATATGTGACAGATTGTTCAAATGATCGAGTTCAGTTGTTTCAGCCGGGAGAATCAAATGGCATCACAGCAGTTGGATACAGATCACTAAATCCAACAATCACACTTCGTTGTCCATCTGGAATTATCTTAGATGCTGATAAATATTTATTCATTGTGGATCGTAACAATCATCGCATTGTTGCTTCAGGCCTGAATGGTTTTCGATGTTTAGTTGGATGTTATGGAAGCGGTTCACAATCCAAGCAACTGAATTTTCCATTTAGTTTTAGTTTCGATCATTCTGGAAATATATTTGTTACTAATGAATGGAATAATCGAATTCAAAAATTTTTCCTAATGAAAGATTCTTTTGGTAAGTTGAAGAAAAGTTGAATGAAATGAAGAGATGTGAAAAGATAAGTTACAGAAGTAGATGAAGATATTTCAATATAAAAGAGGAAAGAAAACAAAGTAGTTGAGAAAGATTAAATAAACCAATGTGTAGAAGAATGTGTCTAAGGAAAAGAAATGTTCAGATTAGATAGAGCCATGTGTTAGTCGTCAAGGGCAAACAATCTTCGCCTTTTTATTTAGAATAAAGAAAAGGGAAAGAAAAAGTTGTGTCCATAATGGATCGGTAGAAATGGCTTTCATGTTTCATTTCATGTCTCAAAGAGTATCTCATCAATGAAATAGTTTTTATCGAAATAAAATTTGTTCATATTTTTACGGATAGTTTTAATATAAATTATTCTATGATTTCACTTCATATTTCATATTTCGACATGTTTGACTAAAAAAAATAGGTCGAATATAATATAATAATTCTAACAACTAATTTTTCTTCTTTTTTCATCCAAAAATTGAATTTTCTTATAAAGAAATGTTTGATTGCTGATTTGTTCTTATGATAGTTATCATCATATTTAATTGCAGAGAGTAATATTGAATAGTTGAAGACAATCTATAATGTGATATATGTAATTGTCAATGAGATATACAGTAAAACTTCTCTAATGTGAACACCGCTGGTTCCTACGAAAATGTTCACAATGATGGGGTGATCATCATATAGGAGGGAGTCTGACAAAAATTAATCTAAATACAATTCCTTTACTATTTTCTGTACTCTCTGATCATCACTTGATACTTTTATTCAATAATTTATCATTATTTATCACAAAATACTTTTTAATACAACTATTTTAAATAAGAAATGAAGATTTTCTTTAAATCCGCTGAAAATACTCTTGAATAGTCTTTTGTTTCAAATTGCTTCCATTAAGATAAATACCGATTAGTTTTGATTGAAACTGAAGAACGAAAGAACGTAATTTTCGTTTCATTTTTTTGCTCTTGTTATATTCATAATCGTCTAAATATTCATTTTTTCTTTCAAGAATATTTGATATACTGCCAACTGATACATGAAATTTATCCTTCAATAATCGATAAGACATTCCTTGTTCACCATCTTTAATTAAATTAACCTTTTATTTTAAATTTAAGTCATTTTTTGCTGCCATAATTAAAAGGCAGATAATGAAAGAATTTCTCTCATTGTTTCTCTTTATTCTCTTCTTTCTGTATTCTGTACGGATATAACTATATAGCCAATAAAATTCATCGAAATGTATTTCGTAAGTGTCACGCCACCTATCATTGTTCACATTACAAGATTCATACACACAGTCAGGCCCAAAAAATCTGTTCACATTTCTGAATCAAGGGGTTTTCATATACGAGGGATGCAAAACCAGCAAAATGTGCTCGGGCGTTCCCGAAGGTATTCAGTTAAACAGGGTGTTCACAAAGGAGGGAGTTCACTTTACAAAGTTTTACTGTATTTGACTATTTCCTATCATACAATTTATTCAGATTTTTCACAAGATTTTCAACTAAAGTTAAACTAATAAATTTCAATAATATAATAATTTACATTTCATATCAAAATTGATAAAGTCATTGCTAAAATCAATCTTGATAAGTATTTCTAAATGTTTTTTTCATCAAGAATAACTTTGAAAAAACTTTATCTTTCTTCTATGAATATGTAAAATAACAACTTAATTTTCTTTACAGTTCTCCTCTAATAGTCTTTCTATTTTTCTCGTTTTCAGCTGTTTCATTCAATCAACCAAAGTTTTGTCCAACGGCCACTTGGAATTCCAATGGAATTACCTTTGCTAATCGCTCGATTTTGGGCCAATATTCTACCGCCGTTTTTGTGGACAGAAACAACACAATCTATGTCGCTAATCAACAAAATAAAACAATTCTAATATGGCAAGAAGAGAGTGTCAATCCAACAAAAATCATTCACAATAATTGTACACTACCTAATTCTCTCTTCGTGACAGCAAATGGTGATGTTTATATTGATGATGGATTTAAGAATGGTCAAGTACAGAAATGGATAGTAGAAACAAATACTTTTGTCACTGTGATGAATGTTAACTCAACATGTTATGGTTTGTTTGTCGATATCAATAATACTCTTTACTGTTCAATGCCTAGTCATCATCAAGTTGTGAAAAGATCATTAAATGATGCTGTGATGACTTCAAATCGTATTGCTGCTGGAGAAGGTATTAAAGGGTCAATCTGGGATAGACTCGATAGTCCTCGTGGAATCTTTGTTGATGTGAACTTAGATTTATATGTGGCAGATTGTAACAATAATCGTGTTCAGTTGTTCCAGTCAGAAGAATTAGATGGTATCACAGTGACTGGAAGTGGATCACTAAATCCACCACTTAATTGCCCAAGCGAAGTTGTCTTAGATGCTGAGAAATATTTATTCATTATGGATCGTAACAATCATCGCATTGTTAGTTCAAGCTTGAACGGTTTTCGATGTTTAGTTGGATGTAATGGAATGGGTTCACAATCTCATCAATTGACATTTCCATTTGGTTTTAGTTTCGATCATTCTGGAAACATGTTTGTTACTGATACATTTAATCATCGAATTCAAAAATTTCAATATTGGGAAGAATCATGTGGTAAGTTTTGAGTGATTGAATGAAATCTTCAATATCATTTTAATGAATATTTATTCAGAGAGAATTATAAAGAAAAACTATCATAAAAGATGAAGATGAAAATGAAACTCCCGGTGGATTTCAAACTGAATTATTGAATAGTTAAGTTCAAATTTCAAGTTTCAACCTATATAAAATAAAAACCTTGCTTATTTACAATTCTCTACAAAAGTCAATCGATAACATTATCGTTATGTTAGTTGTATATTACTGATAGCAGCTAGAATGTCTATGTATTTATTAGAAAAGTCGGAGATGAATTCAGCCATTTTTGCTGAAGTTTCTTTATAAATTTTCTTTGATTCACCATTATCTGCGCTCACTTACCGCTGTTAACTGTAGAAAATAATGAAGAGAATAATTTTATGAAACGTAAGACACTCATGAGAAGGAAAACTTCTCGCGTCGAATTTCATATTTCAGAATATAAAAAAAATTCAGAAATTGCTTTGAAATTAACAAAAAGTCGTTTTGCATAGTTGTTCCATGTGCATTCAAATTTGTAGATATAAAACATCTGTCAGAGAAAAATAAACCTATACTAAAGTGTTAATCACAACTCGTGGCGCAATCATAGAGATTCAGAATGTCACCATTACTCTCGCGATGAGAAAAAGATTATGTTATACTTGCGCTCACGATTTTGACTGATGAACAAGAGTAGAATCAGGATTATCACAAACGAGTGAGATTTAAACGTCGGTCAGTATCTTCACAGAGAAATGCAACAACGAGAAAAAAGAAAAAGTTTCATCCTTACTTAGTTATTCAAGATATGCTTTATTAGAATAAAAAATAATTAAAGAGTCTCTCTTGTAATATTTTAACAATGGGTTGAGTAAGAGAATATTTTGATTTGTTAAGATTGATTATCACTTCAAACCGACATTTTCTTGATGATCTCATGCCATACCCATAGATTAACTAGAACTTTATCAAAAATAGTTTCATCAGATGGTTTATTGTTATGCTTGGTGATATTGACAACAAAACTAATGTTGTACATTATACTTATAAAAGAAGAAAAGTTTAAAGATAAAGACGATAATGAAGAAGTCATAAATCTGTAAGTCTATGACCTACTAGACTTTCTTAGTCCAGAATGGTACTCGTTTTTGTATACGAGGTTTTATAACATTTCTTTGTTACAATTATTACAACGTCTTTTGGGAGAACATGCAGATTTTAAGGATTAACATCGATACTTATTGTAAGGACGCTATATAGATAATTTAGTTCATGTTTTTCTTTAGTTCCTTTAAAAGCATTGCTCTAAAACAAACGATTCAACTCTCATCAGTAAATAGAGTGAAAAGCAAACTAAAAATATGCGCAATCATTTCTTTTCTTTATTGTGAAAATACAAGTACTGATTGATTTGTTTCATTCAATAGATAACTTATTACAAAAAAAATCAATGTATTTATCATCGTTGACAACAAATAGTTTAATCTATTTTCAAGATTGTTCAGAATTCGATTCGTATTATGAAGCGATACAAATGAACGTCACTGTAACTGGATATTATACTTTCCTAATCAGCAGCGAGATGGAAACCATGTACGCTTATATCTACAAAAATGATTTCAATCCATTCGATGTGCTCAAAAATGTCCTCAGCCATAAAGGAAACTATGGAAATGGAGGTCAGTTTCAGCTCAGAGATTTTCTTGAAGCCAACATGAAATACATTTTCGTTATAACAACATCTTCTCGAAATGTAACAGGGAATGTTTCAATTCAAGTATCCGGCCCAAGCTATATCGGTCTCAATCGTATTCGTGAGTATTTATAGTATTTTGATGGATAATCAGCTGCACATATTCATAATCGATAAAAAATATAGATAGACTCAATCTACAAAATGATATATACAGATATTTCTGTTCGATAGAGACTAAGATTCATATCACTTCCAGTCGCTTTCGGTAAATGTATCTGAGAGAGAGAAAGGAATATTTCAAATTGTTTACACTTATTTCCATATTATACAAAATTGAATTAATTTTCTTTTTCGTTAGTAAATACTTCATCAGCTGTTCAAACAGTTTATGCATCAAAATTGACAACGAACAGTTCAACATATTTACGCAGTTGTTTCGGTTCAGGTTCAACTTTTTACTATGAAGCGATACAAGTGACTATTCGTCGAAGTGGTCTTTACACTTTCTTCAGCAAAAGCAATATGTCCACACACGGCTCTATTTACAAAGATTATTTCGATCCATCTAATCCACATGAAAATCAACTCTTGTCCGCTGATGTCAACTGCAAACCACTTCAGTTTAAATTCACAATTGCTCTTGAAACCAGTATTACATATATATTGATTGTGACAACCTATACCCCCAAGGAGACAGGTGAATTCTTAATATTTGTATCCGGTCCAAATAATGTTAATCTCAAGACCATGAGTAAGTGTTTGCACTATAAGTATTAATTGAATATGTGTCAACATTAGCATTAGTATCTAGTTGAGTTTAGCATATCCGCAAATAAAAACTTGTCTTGTAAGATGACATTTGTATTATAAGAAGAAAACTTTACACAAATAGTTACGTTAAATCCATCAAATAACAGAATATTACGGATGGGATCAGATCAATTGATCACTAATCCGATGTCAATAACCTACAAATCGGCGTGAATCCCTGTTCGTGATCATAAAATGAAAAAAACTTTGCTTTTTGTCAGAACATATCCTTATCACTCAATGCTCCTATAAACAAAAAAATGGTGCAAACATTTAAATATAATGTATCATAAATAAAAAATATAAACATATTTTTACTTTATATGAATCTAAAAGATATCCTTACGTAGTCTAATTTTTGAATAAATTACAATAACAGGAGGATTAGACTATAAATAAACAATTTTTCCTATCTCAAACATTGGGACATTATCCATTTTTGTAGTAAAGAAGTTATTCCAAACTCATTCGTGACACACATTATCAAGGGTTCTAGTACAGAAAAATGTTTATAGATTCTATTCTCACTCTCCATTTACGACTTAATTATTTCATTGTGAGTGATATTATAGAGAGTCATGTCTTTAGAAAGCTATAGGCTCAGCTTCAACATGCCTTTCGATATTCAAGACATATAAGAGATATGCTTACGATGCTCAATTTTCTTTCTTACATCCAGACGATTCGTCTTTCACTCAGTCAATCAAGATCTATCATTAACCTTGACTGTTATTTTTGTTTTCATCACATAGGTTCTCCATCAGTCATCGAAATACCATATTCATCAGATGCACAATCAAAATATTCATCACAGTTGACTACGATTAGTCAAACATATTCTCGAGATTGTCGAAAATCAAATTATTACTATGAAACTATACGAGTGAATGTAGTGGAAACTGGATACTATGCTTTGAGTAGTTCTAGCAGTATGGATACATTTGGTGATATTTACAAAGATGATTTTAATCCAATGAATCCTATCGAGAGTCAACTCTCACAGGTTTATCGAAGCTGTTTTCATCTAAATTTCAGGTTCAGCGTTTATCTTTACGCTAGCACTAAATATATATTAGTGGTGACAACATCTTCTCCAAATATGACGGGACGGTTTTCCATTTTGACATCTGGCCCAAATAACATTACTCTTGATCCTTACAGTAAGTATTTTGTATTATTTGTAAATCATCAACAGAGAAATACAGCATCCTACTGGACTTCACTTTCACTCGTGAATAATAAAAGATCTAAGAATTTCAGATAGATCGTATAATTCAATAGAATTATTGTCCAGAAATAGAACCACATCGGAACTCCTTTTTTTGAAGTTGGGCGATTATCTTCCAATTAGATGAGATCAAGTCTCAGTATTACAATTTAGTCGTGATTAGATGGATTGCACGAGTTAAATCAGGTAGGTAAATGAATACAACTTTTCTTCTTGAATCAACGATGTATTCGAGAAGATCTATTCTTTAGTGATTTCACACTATCTCAGATTTCATTACCTTGCAATCTTTGAAAACTTATTGAGCTCATATGTAGACACATCTTTACAAAAATGAGTAAATTCATCGTAAGACATTAAACAGAAAATAGAAATATATAAATCTAATCTCCACACAATAGGTCATGTATAGACAAATGATTTCGATAGACTATTATTGCTTACAAATCTGCGCCTGCATAGCTTTGTTAAGTTGAGAAAGATTGATCTCATCTCTTAATGACCATGTATTTCTGTCTTCAGCTCAAAGTCAGACCAGTTGTTTCATTGGTCAAAAATGTCAGTTCTACAAAAAAAGTATTGGTGTCACTCTCGATGATATTTTACGTGACGAAATTCGATCAAATATGACATTGACTGATCAGACAGTATTGGTGAAAATCAATGCTGCTCTAACAATGATTATGTTTGTTGGAGGTTTAATCAATAGTTTGTTGTCTCTACTAACATTTCAAAGTAAAGATCTACGACAAGTTGGATGTGGCATTTATCTCTTAGCATCCTCGATTACTTCGTTTCTTACGATCAGCATGTTTGTAGTGAAGTTTTGGTTTGTTGTTCTTACTCAAATGGATCTATCAATTCGTTTTTCTGTTGTTCGAGGAGGTTGTTTATTGATCGAACCACTTCTCAAGCTTTGTCTATATTTGGATGCTTGGCTTAATGCTTGTGTAGCCATTGAAAGAGCGATTCTTGTTTTCAAAGGAGTTAACTTCAATAAACAAAAAAGTCAACGCATTGCTCGATGGATAATTCTCGTCTTACCATTCTGTATCATGGGTTCAATCATTCACGAACCTATACATCGAGAGTTGCGTGAGGTAAAAATGGAGACAAATAAAGTGGATATCAATAGATGGTGTTTAACTCGTTATTCTCCTTCTATTCAACAATACAATACAATCATTCTATTTTTCCATCTTGTTGGCCCATGTATTATCAATCTTTGTTCTGCTTTATTCATCATATTTGGATCAGCCCGACAACGATCAACAGCTCAAACAAGACAAACTCTAAGAGAACATATTTATCATCAATTTAATGAACATAAACAACTATTAATCAGTCCAATTATTCTTCTAATTCTGTCTTTACCTCGTCTGATTATGTCAATGTTATCTGAATGTGTCAATCCATCGAACCATCGATTATTATTTATTTTTGGTTATTTCATTTCATTTACTCCATCGATGCTTATCTTTATTATCTTTGTCCTTCCTTCAGGATTGTACAGAAAAACATTTCAAGAATCTTTCAAACGATGGCGACGATTAATTCATCAATAATCAATATTTCTTCATTATATCAGAACTCTTCTAATTTATTCATATAGTATTCGCTTCAATTTGACAATTAATCGAGAAATTTCCACTAGACAGAACATTCGCTGTCTTTTGCATAGATATATCCAGTATCAAGACAAAATCTCACAAGTTTCGAAAGTGTTGTTTCTGAAAAAAGTTGTCATATCAATTTCTCAGCTTGTTCATTTAATAAAATTTTATGTCATTGTAGCTTTCATCCCTAAAAATATTATTTATAAACTGAAAATGATTCGACAAAATGTCGAACTAACGATTAAATAGAATTGAAACTTGCTTAACATTTCAAAATTAGTGTCTGAAATAGTTTTCAAAAAATGGTCAGTTAATAAAGACAAATATTAAATACAGATATTATCATTTTTTATGTGGCATTCATATGATGATAAACTTCATTAGTTCTCTCTCTCATTCGTAGCGAAGAATGAAATGCGACCGAAAAATATTACTTAGATCATATAGAACAATTAAAAGCTGATTAGCAAGACCTGTTATTAAATAGCCATTCTATCGCAAACATCCATCAGCAGAATATCAAAAAGTGCTTCACTTTACTTTATCGTTAGTAAAATGAGTAGTTAGCTAGATAAAACAACCGAATTCTATTACAATTTAATATGCCACATTCAGAAAACAAGTGAATGAAGCACAATTATTATTTGAATTGAATTTAATAATTCTTTTATTGCGTAAAATATAAATACACCTATCTCTCGATTGAAATGATCACTACCAAAGCAATATCTGCGCAGGAAAAAGATTCAGATTCTTAATCAAATCATAACTAGATAGTCGAAGACTCGACTTAGATTCTCTCATTTTTACTCTTCAAGAAATGTTAACAATTACGATAAGATATAACACGACAAAATTAAGGAGACTCACCATTTTTCAATCATAATAAATAGTGGCAGGCGAGAAGGTTTCTTAGAGAACTTCGTTACTAGAAAAAGAATTTTTACTCTACCTTCTTGTAATGATAATATGTGCTTACAAAATTTATCATATATATCTATCTGCTTGTGCTGTATCACGGATTTGACTGTCATTGATGAGTTCCTCACTCTGAGCTGATTTTTAATTTCTTAATTGAAGGAAACTTATATAAAATGATATTTTGAATAACGCTTCATATGAAGTCAACGATTGATTGTTGAAGAATTCTCTTATTTGTGTCTGCATCCATTTGACAAAAAAAAATTCGTTTACAAGGTAATTAACTAGATGGAAAAGAAGTGAATAGTGAATTTGGATTATTTTTATCTCCTTTTGCATACGATGTATGAGGGTGTGGGTATGGGCATTAGAAAAAAATGAATACTCACACCCTTCGTATTGGTTCACTTGTTGAACACTGAACTGATGATGTTAAAGAATTTGACTCGAAAATATTGTTACTTTTGAGAATAAGATAAAATAATTAATTGTAAAAGTGAAATAAAATATTTCTTATAAAGTCATTTGAATTTCAATTGAATATTTATTCATTCAATTTCATTGTTTTCTTTAAATGAAAAATATCTAATAATTTGTAAGATAATCATTTCATTGAGAGATTTTTATTTTATTGTCTTTTGTTTATCAGTAAAATAGAAAAGTCTTTCAACTTTTCTTCATCATTTTATTATTTTAATTGAATTCGGTGAATCATTTTGTTAACTAATGAAACTTTATAAAATATATTATATTTATTTTTTCTTTTTATTTAGATTTTAAAATTAAATTATCAATAATTAAAATTTTTTTTTTAATATTTAAATGTAAAAGTAATCTTTTCTTTTCAAAAATAGATTTTCTTAATCTAATTTTTCGGTTTGGACAGATTTCATTCTTACTGATTTCTCTTTTTTCTTCTCTCTTTCCTTTCTCTCAATAAATCATAAAATCACAAAAAGTAAATCTAATAAAAAATACAATTTGTTTCTATTTACATGATTTTTTTATTAATTCGAATGTTTTTCTGAATTTGAAAAATATTTCATTTGATTTTTCTATAAAAATTAAACTTTTTTTAATTCAATTTTCTTTCACATTCTTTTAGTTTGATTTATTCAAGAAAAATTCTATCCGAATTAATTTATTTATTTTGGTTTTATTAGTTTTAAATTAAAACTAACAAATATTTATTTATTTTTGTTGAAGATTTTCCATAAATTAATGTTTTGTATTTATTTTCAAAACTAAAAATCGAAGTTTTATCAAATTAAATTAAAAAAAGGTTTCATTTGAAATATTTTCATATTTTTGGATTCGATGATTATTATTATCAACAACATAAAGATTTTCTTCATTATCAAATGATAAACCTAGGGGTAAATTCAATTGATTTGATTGATTCCCTTTACCATTTCCACCAACAACAATATCACCTTCACCTTTTCCTTCACACCAACGCATTATTCGATTATTTCTCGAATCTGCTACATAGATTTGACCCAAATAATCAATAATTATCCCTCGAGGTTTAGACAATTGATTGAGATTACCTCCTTCACCATTTCCACCAGCAACAATAATTCCTTCTTTTGCATTTTTTTTCCATTTCATCACACGATGATTCAAAGAATCTGATATATAAAGAGAATAATCTTCATCAATAAAGATATAACGAGGATAGTTGAGTTGATTAAGATCAGTTCCTTTGCCATTTCCACCTGCAACTAATTCACCTGTTTCATCTCCTCGTTTCCATCGTCTTACTTCATTCTTCTCGTGATCAGAAGCATAAATATATCCATTTTTATCGATTGTCAGACCACAACATTTAATATTTGAAATAATAATTTGTTTATTTATTTGATTTTGATCAAAATATCGAATTACTCGTTCGTTTCCCCAGTCAGAAATAATAAAAGCATTATTTTCTTTATCAAAAATTATATCTGTTGGGTAATTCAATTGATTATTTTGATTTCCTTTTCCATTCCCATCTACAGTAATTTGACCAATATTTGAATTCAATTTCCATTTAACGATACGATGATTTGACCAATCAGCAATATAAACTGATTTATCATTACCAATAAAGATCCCATGAGGATCAGAGAGTTGATTTAATTCCTGTCCTTTTTCGTTTCCTCCAGCAACAGTAATTGCAAATTGTTGAAATTTATTCTTTTTTGTTTGAACCTGTTCTAAAATAAAACATTTTCTTTTCATTCAAAATCTTTTTCATTATTTTTAAATCAGAAAAGGGCGAAAATAAGAAGAAAAATTGTAGTTGACTTTGTTTTAGTAAAATGAAATTTTCTTTTTGTTAAATTTAATTTTTAATGAATAAAATTAATTCCAAACAATCTCTTTAGACTTTTTAATTAAAGCTTATTTATTTGATTTTCATAACAGTTTGAATTAGGAAAATATTTTCAAATGAAAATCATTTTTATTTCAATGATGCAAATATAGTTGATTAAAAACTTCTTTTTTATTAAAAAATGAAATAATTCTTTTATTTGAAAATTCTAAAGTAAAGAGGTAGTTATGCATGTGAGTGTGGATGTTGATAAATGCTCTTCTGACTACACCCACACCCACAGCCACTCTCAAGATATAAAAATCTGATTGGTACAGTTTTTAAACATACTGCTCGACATCCGTCTAGTTTTACAGTTCTTTGAGAAAGAAAACACACCAACAATAATTGTATTAAATATGCGAATGGGTGTCTATATCTTATTTCTGAGATTGTGATGCTTTATAGAAAAAACCATATAATTATGTGCAAAAGTTTTAAAATATGTAAAATTTAGCCTGAGATCTTATGAATATTCACGCTTTGAAAAACAACCTAGCATCACGACTTCAAGACTCGTAAGTAGTTTTTTACCAAATTGGTCTATATTTTATATTTTATATTTCAATTGATGCAACAGTTTTTTCTCTTACCCGGTGTTGGTTTAATTTGCACAAATTGATTCGTAACCGGCTGTAAAAGAGTAATTGGAGGTTTTGTTTCTTTCAATTGAATCATATGAAGACCTGGGGCTGGTCGAAGACAAGATACTACAATAAATTGTCGAGCAGCTAGGAGAAGGACTTCTTTCTCCGATTGAAAATATGAATGACGACTGATATCTTTGCCACTATCACATTCGATATTAAACATTGTTCTTTGACCAGTTTTGCCTAAAAATTGTTCGTTTTCAAGTACTCCCATCGATGTTGTACACGAAGAAAATCCCCACCAGACAAATGTTTTTCCTTCAGTGTATTGTTCACTTAAATTTAAATTTACTCCGCGAAACACAAAGTATCGTGAGGATGGTAATTTTTCGAGTGCTGTAAGAATAAGTTTCAAATACAAAAACCATGGTTTTAATTTTCGTCTATCTTCAGTGCGAAGTGTTGCATTGAGTGCAAAATATAAACATTCTTCATGTGGTTCCCATTCCATGGAATAAAGCATGATTGAAGCTGATTCATCCTGTGTTAAACCATCGGGAGGTACGGATTTACAGCGTTGCTTCGCAACATAAGCATAATCTTGAATTTCAGGTAAAATCGAAATAAGTGGTATAACAGCTTCCTCCAATGACACTATTGGCATTTTTTCATACCCTCGAATTGGCATGAGCATCTCTTGTGGTTCATTGACAATATCTGATATTCGTGTATACTGTTGTCGGTCAACATTTCCACCTGTAGTCATGTTTATATGAAAGAATATTTTCAAGTAACAAGCACAATAAATAGTCTACAAACAAAATAAAAATTTGTTTTTAAAACCATCTTAACGGTGTAGGTGTAGGATAGCTGTAGGTCGCTCGAGTATGAGGTGTAGATGTCGGTATTGAATCATTCCACACCCGCCTCCACCCTCAAGATGGTCAAGTATTTTAATGAAAATTTTCTATAAAAGATCTTTACTAGAATATCTCAAAACCTTAGGTTGGCATGAAAAATTTTTCAAAAAACAAGCATCAATCTTACTAGTAAGGCAACGGTAGTTAAAAAGCTTTTTCAAAAACTCGTTAGCGACGACTTCACAGTCGCTCGGCGTACACCTTTAGACATACAGATATTTGTCAGATTCTCACACTAACGAAACTTCTAGGTAAAACTGCAGAACAATGTCTCTATCTTATCTGATGATAAACGTCGCCTTTTTTTCTTTTCTTTAAAGTGAAAAGAGAATCAACAAAAAAATATTTATATTTTTACAAGATTGATAAATGGTTGATGGTAGACATAACATTCTTCGTAAAAGATGCGACTTAAATCTCCCTGATCTTTAAAAATATTCCTTAATGTATAAAATAGATTAAAAGTCAGAAATGTGTCCCAGGTTTATTATTACGAAGTTTTTGTACTTGTAATTCATGATTATAACAATAAAAACTCAAAGAATCCATTCACAAACATAATTTCAACTAATAATCACATCCTTCTTCGTATATCCTCATGTCTATTTACATTTTTTATTGTTTGGAAATCTTTTTCGAGAATATAGCTTAATAACCAGATTTTTCTGCATACACATTTAATTATCAATTATTTAAACACAATAGTGAGGGTGTGGGTATAGATATACCATTTATTCTTTATAACCATCCTTATCCGCACCCACACTCTCGAAAAGATTCATATTATTATTTATCAGCTCAATTATTTACAATAAATTCCTTACTTAATAAATTTACTGGTTTAAATCATTCAACAATTTTACTTGCTTGTTATTTATGTGGAAATGATTATATTAATGAAAATTTAGTTGAAAAAATATTTAATCATTTTATTGAAACTGTAGAAAAACCAAAACAGAATAAATGCAATGGATGAAACAATTCGATGATATTAAAATTGCATTACAAAAATCACTTGAATCTATGCATAGCATAGGAGAAAAAACTAAAATTGAAATGAAACTTCAATCTTGTGGGTGTGGATGCTTCCAGTTGATCAGCACACATCCGCTCACACACCCTCACCCATATTCACCGACATTCATTAAAACCCACCTGATTGAAATATTAAGAATTTTATTTATCGCTTGCTAAGTATATGCGTTTTTGCAAAAGAGATTTTTACATTAACTTTAATATCTTATGGGCAAAAAAATGTAGTTTTTTTCCAATGAATTATAATAACTATGAATCATTCTGTCAGCCAACGTTGTTGGTTTTTTTACCAGTTTGAAATAATAAAGTAATGTGTAAACAAAAGCTCCTCAAGAGAAGCTGAGCGAGAAGCCATACAGTCGTCACTTATTTTTCTGAAGAACGCGTAAAAGGACAAAGTACAACTTCAGTCACATATTGTGCTTGCTACTGAAAGGTGAGAAAAAATTTCGCTTCTGAAGCAAAACAATACATCGATTTTTTTCCCACTTCGATAAGCTGTGCTTTTAAATCGTACTGATATGTGTTTAGTCATACCATCGGTGTCAACGCCAAATCTTGAAAATATATCCACACAACCCTGATACTGAAAGCAGATGTATATCTAAGTACTCGATGATGAAGTTTTTAGCAAGTACAAGCGTGCATGTTGAGATGAGAGTAGAAAGATCTAGTCTCTGTTCGCTCAGGAAATGGATGTCTAAAAAGAAAATTAGCAAAGATTTTTGAGATTTGAACTCGCCTATTTATTGGTATTCATACTCACAAATACAATAATTTCCAAAGTCGCTTCAAATTCGTCGAATTTAGTCTTTAAGGATGTGGGTGCATGTATGCTTCTATTAGTCTCACAATCATACCAGCCGACCCACACCCTCAAAAATCCCGTAAAAGTTGGCGATTTTATCGCGATATAGATGCCGATTAATTATGAGATCTATCGGGATTCATCGCCCAAACCTTGGCGATTTTGATGATATGGGTCTTATTCTTTCGTATATGTTCCAAAAAAATCCATAATAGACTTATAGGCACAATGGTGATGGGTCTGGATGTTACTGTGACTGTTCGGATAAAGAAAGAAGCCATCCAAATCCCCACCCACACCCAATATGTACAAATAATCTATTTAGTTATTAATTAATTCTTTCTATTAGACTCAAATGTCGGATCAAGCACCAACAAATTATATTGTAACTACTCAACAAGAACAAGAACAAGAACAAGAACAAGAACAAGAACAAGAACAAGAACAAGAACAAGAACAAGAACAAGAACAAGAACAAGAACAATCAACTAATATGCTTGTTCAACAATCTCAGCAAACAACTAATAATCCATCACAATATACAGAAGCACAACGAAAACGATTTATTCAAAAACAACTTGTTTTATTATTTCATGCACATAAATGTCAACAACGTGAAAAACAAACAATCAACGATGAATCAACACGTTCAAATGCATGTACATTACCACATTGTAGTACAATGAAAAGTGTTCTACAACACATGACAAAATGTGATGATCATAAAACATGTACTGTACAACATTGTGTTACTTCACGTCAAATTATTTTGCATTGGAAACAATGCAATAGTCCTCAATGTCCAATATGTCAACCAATCAAAGAAGGATCAGCATTAGCAAAATTAAATCAACAAATAGCAACAATAACGATAGCAGATTCAGCAGAAATATCTTCAATTAATCTTAATACAAATTCTTCATCAAATTCGAATGAACGATCAATAAATATAGATTGGCAAAGACATGTTACAGCCGAAATGCGTGATCGTCTGGTACAAAAAATCATAGCTGCACTTCTACCTATAACTGATACAGGAGCTGTACATGGTAAACGTATTATTAATTTTGATAATTATGCTCGACATGTTGAAAATGAAATATTTGAAGTTGCAGCTAATCAAGAAAAATATTTTAATAAATTAGCTGAGAGAATTCATAAAATTCAAAAAGATTTAGAAGATCGTCGAGAAGAAAAATATTTACAAGATATGCAATTAGCAGCGCAAATGTCTTCAACGAATGATTTTAATGGAGAAATGTATTCAACTATTGATACAATGGCCGGTGATCATGGTCCACCAAATCGTACAGCACCTATAACTGATTATGTATCATCAGCGGCAGTGGCAGCAGCAGGAAATCTTCTTCAATCACTAACAATTAAATCTGAACCATTAACAAATCGAACAATGGTAAATACTAATAATAATAATTCCACATCGACTACATTTGCAGTAACAAATGTACCATCACATGATCTTGATATGCTTGACACAACAAAAAATAATTTAGATGGTACAAATCAATTGAAAAACGAACCACTTTCACCTAAGAACTAGTTTCCTGCGGAAACAACTTTTTTTGCTTTCTATCCCTATTCCCTTAATTTTTTTTTCTTACTTCCCATTCCCTTAATTTTCTAAGTTTTCAAAGGCTCTCTTCATCTGCGAGAAAAGGGTCATTATCATATATATGTACCAGTTGCTGGTGACACCAGGTTCTGCGCATAGTTCATGCTTACTGGTTTTTTTGAGAAATTGTTCTTAAATGACGACTATTTTTCTTACTTTTTTAACAAAAAAAGAAAATCTCGTTATACGAATCACATTATTCGCTTCTTTATTTTCAACTATCGACCTAAACATATAATTTTTCGCACATATTTATCTTCTTTATCACTCTAAAAAGCAATTTAGGTTTCCTTCACAGTTTGAAGTCAAAAAGGGTGTGGGTGAGGGTGTGGGTGTTTCATCTATTTCATAAAAATGAAAATATTTCAATAAAAAGCAAGACATGATTGTATGGTAATTGTATTAAACAACTAATAGATTAATATTTGCGTACCGTCTGTCACTATGTGAAACATTATTTTTATAGGCAAATAAAATACTTTATGAAAGAATTATTTAATTGATTGTAAATAGAAGTAGGAAAAATGTTTATTCTCTTTAATAAAAAACTTACCTAAATAATAAAGGTATACACTTCGTACGCTTAAAATGTCTGTCTAAGAAATGTTTAGTATTACATTTACTCTATCAGTATATAGCTTGAAAATAATCTATAATACAAATTATGATTAACTTTTCCTATCAAATACTATCAAAACTTTTTTCAAATTAAAATGATGAAGACAGAATCTTCATGCGCATTTCAACCTAACTTCTTGTATGTTTGATCAATGAGTCATCCATAAAATTATTTTTACGGGAATATTTTTTCATCTTTCTTTTTTTTTCAGGTGTACATTTGACACAATATGTTTACAATCACTATTTATTTCTCCCTTTCTTTATTTTTTTAACTATACATACAACAAACTTTACATCGAGAGTTATGGATTTTTTCCCTACCGATGAAACATTTATTCATCGTTGGAATATTTTGTACATCTTGCGCAAGACATTCATGTACATATACCGTTGTGTTATAAATTCGGTTGCTTTCATTCACGTACGCTTTTTACTGATTCATTTTTAATAATGGAAAAAGAAAAAATTCATATTAATATTGTCGTCATTGGTCATGTCGATTCTGGTAAATCAACATCAGCTGGCCATTTAATCTACAAATGTGGTGGTATTGATAAACAAACAATTGAAAAATTCGAAAAAGAAGCTACTGAAGTATGTATTTGTGATTTCGGATTTCTATTGAATTTAACTACCTCTTTGTATTAATCTATGTTTAGATGGGTAAAGGTTCATTCAAATATGCTTGGGTATTAGATAAATTGAAAGCTGAACGTGAACGTGGTATCACCATTGATATTTCACTTTGGAAATTCGAAACAGCTAAATACTATGTTACCATCATTGATGCTCCAGGCCACCGAGACTTCATCAGAAACATGATTACTGGTACATCAAAAGTACGTATCCTGTTTGCTTTCTATAATATCTTTAACTATGAAATGTTTCTCTGTATTGTTTAGGCTGATTGTGCTGTTTTGGTTGTTGCTGCTGGTGTCGGTGAATTCGAAGCTGGTATCTCCAAAAATGGTCAAACACGTGAACATGTTTTACTTGCTTATACTTTGGGTGTCAACCAAATGATTGTCGCTGTCAACAAAATGGACACAACTGAACCACCATATTCAGAAAATCGTTTTCATGAAATCAAAACTGAAGTATTATCCTTCATCAAAAAGACTGGTTATAATCCACTTGCTGTTGCTTTCGTACCAATCTCAGGTTGGCATGGAGATAACATGATTGAAGCAACTGAAAAAATGCCATGGTACAAAGGATGGGCAATTGAAAGAAGAGAAGGTAATGCAAGTGGTAAAACACTTTTGGAAGCTTTTGATGCTATCTGTCCGCCATCACGTCCAACTGACAAACCACTTCGATTACCATTACAAGATGTCTACACATCTGGTGGTATTGGTGGTTATGGTACATTAGCAGTTGGTCGAGTTGAAACAGGTGTTCTTAGGCCAGACATGATTGTTAACTTTGCTCCATCAAGCTTCCAAACTGGAATTAGATCAATTGAAATGCACGATGAAATACTCGACGGTAAATATTTATTGTTTGTTTGTTAATAGATATATGTTGTAAGTGATGTATTAATATTTTGCAGAAGCTTTACCCGGTGATAACGTTAGTTTCTATACTAGACGTGTCGCTGGAAGAGATCTTAAACGTGGTTTCGTTGTATCAGATACCAGAAATGATCCAGCTCAAGATACAGCTAGCTTTGTCGCTCAAGTAAGACAAATTATTCTTTGTTTTTAGATTCTAAATGTTATTTTTTTTTCTTTTAAAATTAGGTTGTTATTCTCAATCACCCTGGTCAAATTGGTGTAGGTTATGCTCCAATTCTTGATTGTCACACAGCTCATATTGCATGCAAATTTGCTAAATTACTTGAAAAAGTCGATCGTCGATCAGGTAAAACTATTGAAGAAGCACCAAAATTCCTCAAATCTGGTGAAGCTGCTATTATAAAAATGATTCCATCGAAACCAATGTGTGTTGAAAAATTCTCTGAATATCCACCACTCGGTCGATTCGCCGTACGTGATATGCGTCAAACAGTCGCTGTTGGTGTTATCAAAGATGTTGAAAAGAAAGCTCCAACAGCAGCCAGAGATGCCAGAGCAACACCACGTGCTGCTCAAGGCAATATATAGCAAATGCAGTATCTTCGCAAACACACATCACGAACAGATCAACTGTATTTCTATTTATCACAACTAAGGGCAGTTAATTCTCTGATTGTTGTTCAACTCTTCTTAACGATTTTGTGGGAGAGACAACGGCAACCGAAAGATTTCTTCTCTTGGAAGTATAACATTCTATATCCTTCTTATTTTTTCGTGATATGAAGATCTGATGTGTTTACGAAATCTTTTTTTTGTATTTTTAACAATGAAATACTATGTAATCGATATCAACAATTAAATTGAAAGAATTATTTAGTACAATAATATATTCATGAAAATCTAGTGTATTCTTCGTTCCTTTTTATTAGAATTGAATATGAATATATTTATTATGAGTATGTCTACAAAAATAAGTTTATTGAGAAATTATATAAGATCAGTAATTGTATCTACAAATAACTGTTCGTATCAAATTTAAAATACAGTTTTTTTATTAAATCATAGAACTCACGTATATTATTAAGATTCTCATATGTGTTGATTGTTACTAGTAAATTATACAATGACCACAAAATATTAAAATTATTAAGACGCTAAAATGTCTATGTAATTTGTAATTATAAAAATGCAATCAGTGAATATTTGTACTATATTTATTTGATATCAATCTTTTAAATGAATTTTAAATAAAATAATAGTTTGAAACAGTACCTATTCATGCTTGTTTTAAAAATAAGAATATAACTATGTCATTACGATCAGCTTTAACATCTAAGGGTGGGTGTAGATGTGAGATGGAAGTAACACTCACGCCTGCGCACATCATCAGCCACACCCTCACCCTGTAAAATCAAAATGTATTATATGGAAAATGCAAAATTCTTAAAAATCATGTATTTTGAAAAAATAAAAATCACTTATAAATTCGTACATGGAGAAAAAATGAAAATCGCTTTTTAGTTTCTATAATTTGTTTTCAACTTTGGAGTATAGAGTCATCGTAGATTGGATACACAATACAAATGATAATAGTATAGCCGAAATGGAAAAGAGAAATGATTGTTACAATAGGTTTCTTGAATAATATTTATGGATTGAACAATAGTTAATTATTCAACAACAGAACAAACATCAATCCCATGATTATAAATGCATTGATATTAACCGAATGTATTGCAAAATTGTAAGGTGGAGTTATAGCTGGATTACTATCTGTTGTCTTAGGTGGAGTTATGGCTGGATTCCCATCTGTTGCACTAGATGGAGTTATGGTTGGATTTCTATGTGTTGTCTTAGGTGTATTCGTAGGCTTACTAAGCTACAGTTTCACTATCTCGTAACTATCAATGCAAATACTTACGAGTCATGATGAAACTAATATTCATACTAGATATAAATTTATCTAACCAGAATTGCCTTTAACTATTTTGTTATATGAAAAGCATTCTTCAGAAGCTGTTCAGATGAATGAATATCCCCTAAAAATAGAATATTTTCAAGTAGTGTTCACTAAAGTTCTTTGTTCAATGTAAATCAATTGTTCACAGTTGATGACACATTTATAGATAACAACAATTATGAATAGCCTTGACCCAAGTTCTATTCAGTTATCTGGTGAATCCTAATGTGAACGTTATTAATACGCAAGAGGACAAGCATAATATAAAAAGTGAAAACTTTAATTGCAAGAGATCTGTCCATCTATTATTCTTGCGTAATAAGTGCAGTTAGAGATTAAAAGATAACAAAAAAATCTCAATGTATATAAACAATTTGAACAACATTTCACGTAAACTATTTGACTACTTTGCAGTAAAACTCTTGATCCAACCTTTTCGTTCAATATTGCATAAACAACGAATATTATACAAAAAAGATTCATTCTTTTCCTATGACTTATACTGTAACAAAAAATTTTGGTTTCCACTATCATCCAGCAACGTACAATAATTGAATAATTTTTATTGAAGTATTATTCTTTAATTCGTTCGTTCCCATCCCAAAGAACTGAAAGCTTACATAGTCGATCAGCACAGGGTAACTGACGGTTCTCGCAACGTTGTAATTCCGACATTATTTTCATGTAAACAAAGATTTATACAGCTCAAGACAACCAGGTATATCATATGTTAACCATACGCACTTAACAAAAACTTCGTTCAGCTATTTTCTTGTTATCCTTGAAAATGATACAGTTCATCTTATAAGAACAAAAGATATCCAAAATGA